TCAGCAGTATCATCGACACTTCAAAACTCCGGGGAACATGGGTGCGCTCAACCCTGAATTCCTGCAGCAGGTGGATGTGTACCGGCCTAGGCTACATCTCGACATTCAAAAGTCACAATTTTTACAGCATCGACGAGATCGAGAAGCTCGGAACGGTGGAAGACCTTGTTCGAGTGGCTAACGGAAATCATACTTAACTACGTCTTCAAAAGTCCCCGGTCAATCATGCGTAGCTGCTCTGGTTTTGTAAAGAAATTATCAGTTCGAATTTTTTCTAAGGAATTTTGGACGAGCTGGGGGACAATCGCAAGTTGGCCGACTGCTGTCTAGGTCACGCGGGTGCCACCGTGTATATTATATTCAGGGTCGTCATGATCCCCGAGTTTGAGTTTGCCGTTGCTGTTTGGGTCCTACGATTCGTTTTATAACTCAAAGACAGCCCGCGGTGACGAAACAAGTGTGCATACAGAGTTGAATATGGATTAAAGAAGAGAATTTATTCGACTACTATCGGGCTATGTAAAGCATCTAGGCCCCGCAGAATCGCCTGCGCACGCGGCAAGAGCGGTGAAGGTTTCGCGGATGAGGATGGGCTTTCCACATATGCCGACAATGTCTCCTGGATTTGAGCGCGGGCACTTGCATTGGGCTGCCTCGGCGGGGATCTGAAAAAACGATAGTCCGGCAGTCCAGCGTAGAGATCAAATATCTCGCAAGAAATGATTGCGTCTAACAGCTCCACGCCGTGTGGGTCGTCTGAGGTTGAAATACGGTGCAGACTGGCTGCGAGACGAATCTGGTGAATCTCGTGGATTTTTGCGTCCGGAGCGGCTCTTCCGATGTAACGCAGCGTTGCGGCTGCTTTATAAGGAGTGAAATTAGGATTGCAGCCGTCGAGAAACTCGGCGAGGAGGGCAACTTTTGCCTCAGTAACGCGCATGGCCACTGTCCAAGGCAAATCTGAACGCATCAGGCATTTCGGCGCTGCTAATGAATTCGGGGGAGAATTCAACTGCTGTCTCCGCCGGTAGCAACCAATGCATGAATGGAGGGTCCCCATCCGGCTGTTGTAGGTTGTGGAGAATCCTTGTTTTGACCATGGCGATGGTGGAAAAAGTCAAGGATGAGAATGTAGAGACAGTCTTCACGACGGCCTCAAGAACGGACTCGTATACTGTTGTATCGACTGAGCTCGACGTCGTCACTGAACAGGCATGCCAAACCGCAGCCAGTACTTCGTCTGTCCTAATTTCAGGTCCGGTGGATGGGCCGTAGGCAATGATGGGTGATGCCGTGGAGAGGGTTATCGGGAAGGCGGACCACGTTGTGTGCTCGTTCCCGATGATGCATGCCCTGAGGGCGCTATCTGAATCCCGGTTATTCAAATAATAAATCATAGCATGGGGAAGCGGTGTCTCTTCGGATGTTTGATTCGGCCTCCACAAAGAATATAATGTTTTGAAAATGTAATCGATCCGGTCACTTTGTTTCGGGTCCTTTAACCTGTCAATGAGTTGATCTACAACAAAAACCAGTTCGCGTTCCAGATGCTCCTTGAATGTGACGAACGGAGCGGCATAATCAAGGTAAATTATGCTTCGGGTCTCGAGCCAACGGTAGGGAGCTGTGCTTAAAGTGGCTGCACCTGCCACATAATTAATCAGGATTCTGTGAGGAGCTGCCGAGCGATAGTCCATGAGCATCCGGGAAAGTCTTGAGATGAGTTCCGAGGGGGGAGGTGGAAGGCCACCGGTGAATAAATAGCGCCAGATCCCGGTGTCCACGTATTGTGATTGAGCCGGACCTAGTTCTCATAAAAATGATACGACGGGCCCCAGATTTGGAGTACGCCCGTTTTCAAGCTCCGATTCACATGCGGTGAGGCATTCCAAAAGCTCCGGAATCCGACTGGCGTGACCACAGAACCTGCTCCATGCCACCAGGGCGAAGGTTGATGTGTAATAATGGGTAGCATCATTACCGGGGGCGCCGAGAAAGCGAAAGTCCAGGGGCTGAAGGTAGTCCAGGGAGTCAAGAGGTGCCTGTAGAGCAGCGATGGACCACAGAGCCTTATAGCAGGTAATTTGCCGGCGTTTGGAGAGTTCTTGGGACAGCAATCCCGATTGACAGCTTGCGAGGAGTGCTTCTACGCGGGACAACAATTGCAGATCCGGGGATCGCAGCAAGGATTGAATGTGATCCTCATACGCGTGTCGTCTCTCCGTTGGTCCCCAAAGTACGTCGGAGATCGCCTCGACAAACGACTCAAGCTCGGTGTCATCGGCCAAAGACTTGATAGTCCAGCCAAGTGCTCGCAGATCGCGTTCTTTGCGTTCGGATGAAGGTTTCATGGCGTGATGGGACATGGTTTGCACCATGGTTTCCATCGAGGACGACTCAGATGTCTGGGGTGAACGCTGCGATGCTCGACGGCTGCGCCACAGCGAAATCGGCCTTCTCGAGAGACGCCAAAATGCACCGGAGAGAGGAGTGCGGTACGGGCAGTCCAGATATCACAACGGGAGCAAGGTGAGGAGAGAATATATGGCTACAACAATGGCCAAAAGCGCCGCGGCTACCACAGCGATGCCGACGTTGATTGGTATGAGGAAGGCGACGAGTCCGGCGAAGAAGAACAGGAGTGATGCATGGAGGAGGAGCGGGATGACATCCACGACGGTGTGCATTTTACATCGTTTGAGCCCGTAGTAGAGGTAAGAGAAGATGCGTGCGCGGATGACCGGGGCTGAGTGCATGTCTGCTTTGTGCAGGAAATCACGAGCCCACTGTTCAAGGAGAGTCGCGATGAGGGCGCAGGTCAAGCTCAGACCGAGGCTGATGAACCACAACGCATTGCAGACCAGCGATGTAGCCGGTGGGCTGAAGGGAGGCGGTGCCTGTGCAACAAACGTGCTCCATTGGCAGCAGCAGCCAATTGCTGAGATATTTGTGTGAGGAGCTGCACTGTGGAATCGCCAGGGTCTCGCACAAGAGTCTTGTAGCTCTCGACGATGAATGCTGTAAGACTGGCGGAGAAAAGACCCGCCTTGGATTCATCAGCCTTTTATCGTGATTTTGCAGCGGAGTGCACGCACAAATATTAGAATTCCTTCCATGTCACTCTTCCAGCTCTCGACGAGGGTCTTGTCGTATTTATCGGCCTCCGAGACATACACCGCCCAAAGCTTCGCGGCGGCGGCTTCCTCGCTGGGATCGTCGACTGGGCTACTTTGAGTGCACGTTCTCCTAGGCAGCTAAGACAGACCGACGTACCCATCTCAACGACGCGCGGACCCGTCTCGTCTGGCTTGACATGGTCGTTATTGACAGAACTGGAATGCTCGGCGATCATCCTATCAGTGATTCATCACTCGTGTCAGTCAAGCGATGTCCGGGGTCGGAATCTAAGTGACGGTCTAACGCTCGTTCCTAAGCGGGACCACGCCGTGTAATACTGCCTACCTACCTACCAGTACTGACACTATGCTACAATGTGGGCTCAGAGAGTGGGTCCAATTCCCAGAGATCCGGGCTTCGTGCAGCTTTAAATTCGAGCCTTGTTTGAGTCCCATCTAACTCTTTATTTCTAATTCTTTTATAAAATAACGCAAAAATAACGTCTGTCTGAAGTCTTTAAACTCCGCACGGATGTCACCGACGGCAGTCGACGCGGCGAAGTGCCGGGGCGCGCTCTTGTACTATTCCGCGAAGGTTCCGCAAGTTTTGTTGGATTGCCGTCATTAGTTTTTCTAGGTGCACACAAAAGCTTCACGGCGAGTAGGTAAATATCTGTAGAGCACCGCGTGAGGGTTGAACGCCAGTGAAAAGTCTCTTGAAAGGAATCGAATGAAATCTAGGTATGTCCGGATTTTTGAAACGAGCCCCTGTCCCGCGCGTGTCATCTTCGTTCCGGCTCGCTGGGCTTCAGATTTGTTCAATTTTTAAAACCATTTTGAACAAAATTCTTCTCAGTTTTGGAAGCACGTCGAGCCCAGGCGAGCTCGGGTGAACTCTATTTAAAAAATCCGGACACACCTAGATTTTGGTTCATTCCTGTTCAAGAGACTTCTCACTGGGGTTAACGTTAACGTTAACGTTGAACTGAGGCGTAGCCGAGGTCGCCGCTTCCTTAATCTTTCGGAAGCGCCCGGCGTGCTTTGAATTTTCTTCTCTGCCCTCACCTCAATCGCGCGCGAAATCTACCAAGAGGATAATTCGGCGTGATACCGAATTCTTAGATTACTATTCTTTTAGCTGCGCGGATGAACTACATCTTGAGACTTGACGTACATCAGTGGTCCCGACGAAACTGTTGAAGTCTTTCCTTCATAATAACCTCGGCCCCGCCTCTGCCTTTGTAATCCTTCATTTGTTCCTAATCCTGTCATCGCTTTTAAATTCGTAGACCTCTCTTGTTATGATTATCTCTTGAACCTGAACTCCGAGTCGCGTGGTATCACATCGATTCTAAGATTTTTCTTTCACACTTCACGAAGATGAATCCATATCGACGCAGGAGTGTAGAAGCGTGTGAAATATGTTCAGTTAGGATACAGCATTCGTCCTCTGTCTAGAATTCGAAGGATACTTTTTCAATACTTACTTGACCGCCGAGAACGGGATGAATCCAACCGAGTTCAACCGCTGAAAACTGCCTCGCCGGCCAGTTCTTACATGCTCTTCCACGATGTGTTCAATTCGCGCCAGAAGAAATTGCCCGCTAGTTCCGCTGTGGGGTCTGGTTGTGTTCATGTGGTTGAAAGCTCTTTCCCAGCCTTCTAGTATTTGGCATTGGGCCCAAAAAGAGGAAAGACCTGGTAGTGTAACGGCTACACATTCTCCATCAGTGCTTAAGTGAGTTCTATTATGAGGAAGTTCCCTGTTCGATTCGGGGCTAGGCCATGGCGCGTCGGAAGAACATTTTTCTCAGCCACATTTTACTTGAAAATCGGCAGAAACGCTCATCTGTAGCAATTGGGTTGAATCTGGGGAGGAGAGAGGACCTGGTGGTGTAGTGGTAACACATGCTCTCTTTGTACTCCTTCAAGATTTTTCATGAGGCAGTTTCCCTGTTCGATTCAGGGCCAGGCCGTGGGACTCTTGGATTTCTTTTTCTCTTTCTTTTCCCGTTCACCATCTTTTCCCGGAAATGAATTCGTGCCGTTTTTGAACTAGAGCCGAGAACGAACGTCAAAATTAACACATTACAAAATAGGCTGCTAAGTTGGCCGGCTAGGGAAGGAATGTACAGAGCCGTTGCCGCTAGGCCATTGATGGAAAGTCCGTCGTAAGATACGTAAAATAAGCAGTCGAAGAATGTAGAATAGGAATAAAAACACAAGATGGCCGCTCAGGGTCGAAGGACGCCGCTAGCAACGCGGACACGAAGACGCCGGCTAACCTGGACGTAAGGATGCCGCCCGCTCACAGCAGCGCCGAGACGACCGCCACCGCGCCGAGCACAACCACGGCCGCGAAGTTCATCGGTGCGCCCACGAGCGCGCCGCTGGGCTTGCTCTGCGTCGTCGCCGGCGCGGAGGTCGTCGCCGACCCCGAGCCCGCGACTGCGCCCGCCGGGCCACGCATGGCGATCTGCTTGAACGCGGCGAAGTTGTTCGGGCCCGATTCGACGGCGTTGATGGAGAAGACCATGCCGGATGTGCAGTGCACGGGTGGGCCCTGCTGGCCACAGTACCCCCAGATCGGCGCGGTCTGCAGAGAGTTCCAGCATCAGCAAGCGGAAAGGAAAGGGAGAAGAGGACGCACGTCGTTGATGGTGATCTGGAAGGTGGGGAAGACAGTGTCGGTGGTGTTCACGAACTTGCTGTGCGGGCGTCAGCTGTCTGTGAGGGATATAATATAGAGAAGACTGACAAGCCAGACTTGAAGCCGACCTGGCCGGTGGTGGACGTCTCCGCGAGAGGCTTGCACGGCTGCAGGAAGCTCGACTGCGTGACGGTGTGGTTTTTGGGGTGGAACTCAAAGGTGACGGTGTCGCCAATGGCGGCGGAGATGTTCGACGGCGTGTAGTTGAGACCATCCGCGCCGACGAGGACCTTGTGGTCGACGGGTGCGGGGGCGAAGGTGGGCGCGGGCGTGCCGACGTAGCTGCTGTACACCGTCGTCCAGGTCGAGGCGTCGTGTGTGACCGTCGCCGTGGCGGAGGCCCACGACTGGTCGGGCGGTGTGGTGAAGGAGGCGTCGGTCGTGGCGGACGCAGCAGGCGTCGTCGCGGTCCCGGTGCCATTCAGCTGCATTGCGAGTTTTTGGAACGCGTCGAAGGAGTGCGGGTCGGGGTCCGCGGGCGCGTTGATCGCGAACACCATCCCTTCATCCTCGTGTCAGCTAACCGCAATCTCCAGTTTGTGTGAACGCACCTTTGCCACAGTGGCCAGTCTGCTCACAGTGGAACCAGAAGGGCGTGTCGGATTTGGCGACGACGAACGTCCAGGTGTCGAGGAGCGCGGAGGCGTTGCCGACGAAACGGCTAACAGGCCACTCAGTCAGACGGAGCTACCATAGATTTTTATGGAGACTTACAACCCGGACGTGGCGCCGCCAGCGAGGGGAACACAAGGCGCGTCGAAGGACGACTGTGTTACCGTGTGGTTCTTGGGGTTGCTATTCCACACCCGTCAGCATCTCGGACCTATCCAAGAAAAGAGAAGAAAAAACGCACAAGACAAATTCGATCGAGTCACCCGCGCTGGCGGTGACCGACGGCGGGTCATACAGGAACGCGCCCGTCGGGCCTACATTCACGGTGACGGTGGACTGCGCGAGCGCCGCAGGCAACAAAGCAAACACAAGAGCAAGTGCGCTACGAGTAAGCGTCATTGCAAGTTCAAGGAGAATAAAAAGTGCGGAGGTGAGGGGAGGGAGAGAAAGCGGAGGTGATGGAGGGGAGAAAGTAAAGATGAACTGAAAAACAGAGGCGCTAGGGCCGCCTTTTAAGAGCACTATTCGCGTCGCGTGCGCCTCGGTGATGTCGGATTCCTCCCACAGTTCCGGTCAATGAAACAAAAAGGGATGCCCCCTACATCTGCGGGGCCGCCGGCGAGGCGCCCACAGCCGGGAGCAGTTCGCGGGGCTCGGAGAATGCAGAATGCACAGAGCAGCGTATTAGGCTCACAATACAACGCTAATTGTGGCAGCTGTGCGCAGGAGGCCCAGCCGCAGAGACCGATAGGAGAACTTCGCGTTTCGTTTCGAACACCGCATCGCCTCCTAGTCCGAGTTGGCCCAAGCGTCTGGTCCGCGTCTCCTCTTGTCTTGTCTCGCAAAGCCTCTTGTCTCCTTGGTCTTGTCTCCTCTTGTCTCATACCATATCCGCGTTCCAGAATTCCAGCCAGTCGCACCCGAGCCGGAGTAGCCTGTCAGCGCCCTCTAGCGCCCAAAGCTTCGCTTGAAGATCGCTGGCAGAATCCCAGTACACGGGCGATGCGATGAGCTGCATATACGAAAATCTTCTCGTCGTCAAGCGTCTGGCAGATCCTCACAGCCCGGGTCCTTGATCGACATCCACGAAGCGCCCGATATCAAAAAACCAAAAATGAAGCAGAAACAAGAAGGCCGGCAATTGGCCGGCGTCATATTTCGGGCGACACAGCCACGCATCTATTAATACCCACTCATCGCCTCCTCGAAATATTACTCTCTAGTCTCGACTTCACTATTCACTATTCACTATTCATTACAACAAACGCATCTATCCTTATCCACGAACTAGCTAGCCAAATTTATATGTATGTGTGTACGCTGGAGAGAAAAAAAACGATCGACAGACGGAGCGAGGACTCAGAAAACAGAACAGCGATCGAAAGCCGTATAGTATCGACGAGTGTATCAGATCGACAACTGTATCAGCGCCGCACCAAGAAACTCCCTCCCCTGCCCTCCACATCCTCCACACAACACAGGCGCAGGACTCACGCAGCCTACCGCCTACCGCTCCCCCGCCATCGCCCGCGCATTAACATGCACATGCTTCGCCAGCTCCCCCACCTCCCAACACACCTCCACGCCCTGCATCCACGCACACCCGAGCACCTCCTCGATGCTCGCGCGCGCGCGCGGGTCCGGCTCGAGCATCCGCCGGATGAGCGGCCGGCACGCGCGCGGCGACAGGTTGCTGATCGTCGGCGGGAACGCCAGCGGCGGCGCGTTGCGCCCCTCGCGCTCGCTCGGCGCTATCGTGCTGCCCGCGGGACTCGGATTTAGGGACGCGGTGGAGGGGTTGGCGGAGGGCGGGGGAGGCGGGGGCGCGGCGACAAGCGGCGGCGGGGGCGTGGCGGCGGCGGCCGTAGCGTACGCGGCGTAGAGCTGGTCCGACGGCTGCGCCGCGCGCCACGGCAGCTCCTGAAAGTGCAGGCAGTAGTACACGATCCCGCACGCCCAGATGTCGACCAGCCGTGCGTCGTAGGCTGTAGTTGAGCAAGGATTATGGATTATGAGCCCCCACCCAGACCAATTTTTTTTAAAGCGACTCACGCTTCCCCAAAAACTGCTCCGGCGCGATGTAGGGTTCGCTCCCGCAGAGGCCCGTCGACATGTGGATCGTCGCCTCCCAGGGGAGGCGGTAGACGGTCGAGGCGCCGTAGTCGCCGATCTGCGGGGGAAGAGTGAGTACGGTGAATGAACGATGAAAATGACGATAAAGGGAGCCGGGGCTGGGGGCATGATGATGAAGATGAGCCGGAGCGGGGAATGGGGCAGGGTAGGGGGAGGGTGGGAGGGGGTGGGAAGAGAAGGGTCGGGGAGGGATGGCGCGGAATGAAAGTGAAGATGAAGAGAAGCGGGAGGGAAAGGCGGCGTGCGGATGAAGACGACCCGAGCCGAGCCGGGATGGCCGGAGAGCGGCGCGGAAGTGCAGATAGAAAAAACTCAAAGAAACACACCTTCAAATGCCCCCCCGTATCAAAGAACAAATTCTCCGGCTTGATGTCGCGGTGCGCGACACCCTGCGAGTGCAGGTAGCCCACGCCCGCGAGGATCTGCTTGAAGCAGCATTCGACCTGGGGAATAATGAGTGTTAGCAAGGGGTTAAGATGAGGGAGGGATGGGGAGGGGAAGCAGCGGGTCGATAGGATGAAGTGTACGCGAAGAAGAGAAGATGGAGGTGGGGCAAGCCGTCAGGATGAAGGGGGAGGGAAGTTGGCGAGCACGAGGGAGATGGGAGTGGGAGAACGATGCGAGGGGAAGGGATGGAGGATAAGGTGTAAGGGACACATAACAAGCCGGGCGATAAGGGAGGAGGCATAACCCATGTAAAGAAGAACAACCCACCTCGCTCGGCGACATCCCCCCGCGCTTGATCGCGGCATACAGGTCACCGCCGGGGCAGAACTGCAACGAAGGAGTCAGCACGCGGCACACGGGAAAGAGTTTGACAGAGAGTGAGAAAGGGAGGAAAGAAAGATGGCGGGCGCCGACGCCCGTAGCCCCGCGGATCCTCGACGCCCCGCGCGCATGCCGGGGACACCCTCCGCATGTCATGTACGCCCACACCGGGCCCTACACATTACTGCAGGATGTGCGAAGCAAGAGCAAGACGGCTTCATCCGAGGGACTGCGCGGGGACGGCTGCCAGCCGGGAAAGGGAGGGAGAGGGCGGGCGCAACGGACGTCAAGCCGAGTAGCGGACCCGTGGCGGGCACCGACGCAGACGCATGCACGACACAACGAACGCCCGCCCTACACCCCCGGAAATCCCTCGGGATCCCCCAAACCCCGCGCGAAGCCTCGGCGAGGTCCACACCCGCGGGAAAGACGTAAAACGTATTCACGTCTTCGCACTCGCAGGCATCCGCGCCCTCCACACCCATCCTCGGACGGTCGGCTCTACGCCTACGCCCAGACCCAGACCCCGGGCACCCTACGCACTACACACTACACACCACATGCAGCAAGATGCAGGATGCGCGAAGCAAGACGCAATGCACGCTCCGCCCAGACCCCGGCATGCTACATGCTGTAATATGCGCGAAGCAAGAGCATGCAGGCCCCATCCTCGAGGGACATCTGCCACCCGGGATCTCCCGGCCGAGACGATACGAGACGAGACTAGCGGAGGAACGAGCGAGGACCGAGCGAGCGAGATCCGGCCCCACTCCGCGCTGCGTCCTGCGTGCTGCGTGCTCCGTCATGCACGACGAGTGAGGTACATCCGTAGCGAGATGAAGGATGCACATCCGCATGCGAGACGAAGGGCACATCCGCATGCGTGCTGCGTGTTCCGTGACTGCCATGCACAATGAATCGACGAGATCCAAGCCACACGGAGGCGCCAGACGCGCGAGACACGGGTCCGGATCCCGGCTGACGCATCGACGACGAGACGGATCCCAATGCGGCGGGTATGTCATCGACAGCGGGCGGGCTCGGCCGGGGGTGCTGCGGGGGCGGGGCGGTAATGACACCGCAGAGAAGGCAGCGCAGGCAGACGGCGGAAATCTCGCAACAGCGTCACAGACCCCGCCAAGCGCCAAGTCGCAGCCTCCCAAGCAACGCCGCGCAAAAACCAAGCCCATATAAAAATAAAAAGATGGGGATCACTCACTTCCATAACCTCACACCACCGCCCCTGCTCGTCTTGCACCAGATCGACCGTCTCGACGATATTGACGTGGTGCAGGGTCGAGCTGATGCAGAACTCCGCCGTTAGCTTCTTCACGTACTCCTTCTCCGTCTCCGTGCGGCGGCGTTTGCGAAACTCCTTGACCGCGTAGAGCTTCTCGCCGTCGCTCCGGTCCCACTTGTGCGCGAGGCGCACGACGCTCGTCGCGCCCTTGCCGATCGCGGCCTTCTGGCACACGCCGTACTTGCGCGTGAGCGACGCGCCCGAGTCGGACTTTGCAGACTTTGATTTGGCGGACTTTGTGGACTTTGGCGCGGAGTGCGAGGCCTCGGAGCCGGACTCGTCGCGGGAGGAGGCGGAGCGCGCGGAGGAGCGGCGGGAGAGCTTGGGGCCCGAGGCGAGGAGGTCTTTGAGGGTGAACTTGTGCGAGGTGTGCGAGGACTCGGAGGCGACGCTGGCTGCGCGGGAGGGCGCGCGCGAGGGGATGGCGGGGGTGTTTGGGGCTGATGCGGATGCAACGCGCTTTGCGGGTAGGGGTGCGGGTGCGGGTGCGGGGACGAGGGTGGCAGCTGGAGGAGGAGGATTTTGCGGCGAGGAGGTCCTGGCGGGTGGGCCCGGGCTGCTTGTCGTAGGTGGAGGATTCGGGGGGCGGGAGCGGGACACTGGGTGCGCGGGGCATGCTGGGTGGTGGTTGTGGGCGCTTGTCGGGGTGTGGGCGTATGATTCTGGGGACTTGTAGGTCCAGTAGGAGGATTGGGTTGGTCAGAGCAGCATCGCCGCTGTGGCGAGGAAGCGAAGGAGACGGCCTCTGCACGCACCACGCCAAAATATCGACACCACACCGCCAAACACACGTTACTGGTTGGCGCAATTCACTCAGCCAACAAGGATTGCTAAGCTACCCATCCCCTTCCGGCGTGTACGACGACGAGCCTGCGTGTAATCTCGGGTCCACACCACCCCCGACTTCACCGTCCGGGACGGAGATTCGAGCTCCGAGGGGTTACTATTCTTTTTTTTCCAAGAAAAAATAAATGAATGCCCTGCCTCGGGTTCGAACCCTAGAACTAGTGTCGGCGAAGAAAATAAAAGTTGACGACCTAATGACGAGCCAGATTGCTTCCGCTAGATGGGCACCAAGGAGCAGGTTCAACGCTGAATGAATGACATCATTGCCAGATGTCGAATCCGCTCCAAAAGATGAAAAAACTGGAGACCTATTGGCCATGGCCTGACCCCGAATTGAACAGAGCTCTTCCTCAGAACACGTTCACCTACAACACATTTTAAGAGGATATGTAACCACTACACCACCAGGCCTTGATAAGCACCTCATTCAGTAGGTTAACAACCAGTCCAGAAACAGTCCAGATCCAGCTGCAAGGTGAGAAACCCATCGTTTATAGGCGCGAATTAAAAATAAGCTTTGAGAAGAACATAAAAATTTATCTAAGCCTGATTCGAACAGGGGACTGCCTCAGAAACTCAGTGCTACAACTGCAAATTTGAAAGGACATGTAACGGCTACACCACCGGACCATGATGGAGTTTTGATTCGGGAGATAACACGGGGGTTGTGGTGTGCTAAACTCGGAATTACTCCGCAAAATGAGGATGTGAGCATGGACCAGGAAGTATGCAGTATCGCGGCACCGCCATCGATGCTCAAAACCATCTGAAGATTCTCTGGGAAAAGTGGTTCTGCGTGCTTGGAAAGGATGTGTAAACAAGCTTACTATTAAACAAAAAAAGAAAAACCATTCTCCACATGAATGGCCCGGCCCTGATTCAAACAGGGCTCTTCCTCAGAAATTGTTTAGTAAACACCGATTTCAAGAGGGTAACCGCTACACCACCGGGCCGTGATGGGTGTGTCGTTCGAAGAAGTAAGATGTGGTTCCTGATCATGCCAATGGTGTGCTAAAAGTAACGACTCGGAATTAACCCGGAAAAATGGCGAGGTTTGTTGATGCTCAAAACATTTGAACTTTGTCTAGGAAGCATGTTGTGCAGTATCCAGGAAAAGAAAAGAACAACATCAATCCAAATCTATGGCCTGGCCCCGAATCGAACGGGGAAATTCCTCCGAGATCTCTCTCCAAGAGCAATTTTGAGAGGATGTGTACCCACTACACCACCAGGCCTTTCTTCATCTACTCTGAAACGGTATGTATCTAGAATAAAGACTGGCAGGCCTTATACGTCCTGGTTGATTTCAAGAAAGCAGACCACACCTGGGTGCCTTGGTCAGTTCAATCCTAGTCCAAGAGCCGCCGGTTGATGCAAGACATCCGTCCTACGGAGCGCTCCCAGCAGCATCGACACCGCGACTCGTTCTCATCGCCTGGGAGAGACACGCGATAGGAGACCGGAACGACCTAAGCCGCAAGCAGGAATCTCGCAAGGAAATCCTCCCGATTGCCGGAGTCCGTTGCAGGAGGACCGTGCCGAGACGCGATGCGGGAACTCAACGGCGCACACACCCGCGGGCATTAGTCTCTCCTAGACAGATGCTTCAACATACGCAGCTCGTACCTCACTTGTTGAACGCGGGCGTCACGAGTACATGCGTCATACATCCTACTGCAGGGCCAACGATGCCCAAGTTCGTGCGCAACTCGTCCGCCATACTCGTAAGATGAAAATGCTCATCCAAAATCCGCCCCACATTAGTGACGCCATCCCGACGAAGACAACGTCAATCCGCGTACATCCCGCCACTCGAACAAAATTAAAAGGCGGAAATGGCGATGGAGGTTGGATGCGGAGGATGATGCCTGATGATGCCATGATGGGATACTTGATCGGGCATTTGCAGACCACGCATAGCTCATGCCGTACGTACAGCACACGTCGCAGATACTGCATATGATCTCATCTCTGTGCATTGTGAATCTCACTGTGCAGTTTTATTCACATACCTCAAATGGAAGCAAATGTTGGATTTGAAATATTGATGCACCACAAATGGAAGTAAATTCGACCTGAAATGTGCATGCACCACAAGAAATGTTCAACTCACATTACTAAATATTTTTTGATGATAAATACCGTCATATTTGCTGGACCTCCCGGGACCCATCGCTCAAGCCAAGGAGTTCTGGAACAAGGGATACCCGAAGCCGTTGCTGAAGGACGAGTTCAATTTGTCGAGGGGAATTTCCTCGAACCTATCGTTAGTCAAAGATCAGGATATTTATTTTGTGGGTCGGCTGGTCTCCTTCGATTGTCCAACTAACCCAATCTCAGCTAGGTACGGGTGTCAATCTGAAGCGCAGTCTTCGAGCCGACGACAGCTTCTGCTAATATCCTTCACAGCTGGCCGGACTTGTCGGCTCTGCGAATCCTCAAAAGTGTGCGCTCGGCGATGGGCCCTCGCAGTCGTGTTTTAATCCGAACCACAGACGAATATGTCCTGGATTTCGACATGGGAGAGACCTGCCTGTTGCAATATCAGATTGACGCGTCGGCGTAACGCCAGGGGTTCGTAACACATATGTCTTCACAGTGATATTCGGAATGTACCATTTCCCATGCGTCGGTTTATTGTATCACGCCTCTGGCTATCAGCGTTGAAATGCTAACAACCTTGGGTCTTAATACTAGTACAAAAACGAATTAATACACATCTCATCACGCGCTCCCAGGTCTCCCAACACCGAGCTGAATTACGTCCGTGGATATCGGGTAGTGAATACTCCGGCTTGTATGGCCTTGATCTCTGAAGCAGTGGTTCAACGGTGTCGACATATATACAAAAGTACCACGTACGGAGGGCGACGAGCTTGGAGTGGAATCGAACCATTTGGAAGCTGCCTAAATTAATGCAAAACGACATCAGGACTGAGAATGTAGCGTAAGGCTGAACCCACCTGTCATATACCACAGATTCTTAACCCCAATATGCCTCCAGCAGCCGTTGATCTCGCCCTCGTTGTCCAAGCCCCAGATCGGTGCACATTTCTCTGCTATTTCCTTGCCGCAGATCGAACGAATGGGATCCGAAAGATTCCCAGCACTGAATGACGTATGGGCTGATGAGCATGTCAGAACCAGAATATAGCAACATACCCCGTGGCGAATATAACGGCGTCCGCAGGAAGGATGGATCCGTCTTCAAACTCCAATCCGTCGGGAGAGAACTTGCGAATCGGGCTGGAGTTTTTCAACTTGATCTTGCCCGAAATAATGAGATCGCTGGCTCCGACGTCTACAGAGGAGTTAGTATCTCAGGACACCAACGGTTGCGTAGAACTCACTGAAGTAATGGCCGCCGCCCCTACTCTTCAAGCCTAAGAGGAATCCTGCATCCTTAAGTCCTTTGTTCAATTTGAAGCCGACACGCTGTAGACCCTCTAAGAGATCCCTGAAATCGACTCAGCACAGAACATGCGCCACTGAGTCTAGGATCACTGACTTGTCAGATTTCATGATGGCTTCTGTCTGGCGTTGGGCCAGTCCATTCTCAAGGACGAGCTGCGGCATCGACGCGAATAACTTGTCCGCGAGCTCATTGGGGACGGGGGCGGATTCAGAATATAACGCTGTCGAGGCCGTCGACCATCATCATTTCTGCTCGGTTGGCATTGACCTACCTTCACCGACTAGATTCCAGTTTTTGTCCAAGTCCATAACGAAGTTCGAGCTTCGTTGGAACATGGTGACGTCTGCATATTGGCGGCAGTGAGGTGAGTAAAACGCAAATTGGAATATCGGTGGATTACCTATGTCATGATTCGCCAGATCCGCAGCGACGTCGTGCGCTGGGCTTCTTCAGCATATCCGAAGGGGCAAAAGAACAAAAATCACCTGATGTTGCCGACCCAACAACGATAACTTTCTGCCCGTGGAAGTCCGACCCGGACTTGAATTGTGTAGCGTGCAAGCTTTTACCCTTGAAGCTCTCCTACATACGCTGTGTCAAAAAAATGTGTAGCATGTAGAGAATTAGGATGAACCATTTCTGGAATTGCTGGAATATGTGCTGATCCATCGCCCGTCCCCGTTGCGAAAACTACAAGACGTTGAGATCGATATCACGATTCAAATAGAACGTACCCAGATGGTCAACGGAGAGGGTGCGTTTCGTTCCGTTTGCCTGGTTCACCGTGACACTCCACTTGCCAGAATCGAGGTCCTCTTTTGCGTCCGTCACAGTCGTGGATGTCCAGACATTGATTTCGAGACACTTGGCATAGAAATCAAGCCAATCTGCCATCTGGAAGCGTTCTCGGTCGTTAGACTCTGAATAAGGATCCGATTTTATTCCAACAACCTTATGCGAGGGTGTATACTTCGGCCATGTTGGAGGGAATCTGGCATCTGATCAGCGCTATATAATTTACGGCGAGATGAACATGGCTTACGGGAGATACGCCATATGATCAAACCCTAAGTAATATTGAGTTCAACACATGAGAGGTAATAATCGAGACATACATATGGGCCAGTGAAGGCATAATGCGCCGTAGCGCTTGCGCCAATTGTCGCCGATATGTTGGTTCTTCTCGATCACCAGCGTTGAAACACCGAGATATTTCAGGCGGGCTGCTAATTCAAGGCCACTATGTCCCGAGCCAACAATGATGACCTCGGGATCACAAGAGTCAAACTTCAGCTCTGTCTGGCGAGACTGCGTCCAGGTAGCGCCGTGCTGCATATCCACGGAACGATGTATCCCGATCTTCTCCGGGTGGTCATTGAGCGCGTCCAAGGTCGTAAACATTGTGCAGGCGCGCCAATCACCAGTGCCTGTGGGAACAAGTCTGAAGACACCGGTTCCCTTCCCAACATTCGTCTCGAATTCAAACACTGCAAGGATCCAAGCAACGTCCGGATACGGGCGCTGCAATGCAATCGGCGCTTTAAGCTCGAGACGAATCATCCCGGTTTGTGCGAGTCGATCACTCAGAAAGACGCGGATCTTGGTTGCGGGAGTGAATGTCCGAATATCCCAGGTTAACACAAGCAAGTCTCGCCAGTGTGCATCGGGGAGAAAGAGGGACATGATTGCGTCAAGATCGGAGGATTCGATCCCGTCTTTGAATCGAGAGAACCACTGCCTGGCGGTGGACTCGACATTGAGGTCGTCTGGGAGCTTGGTCACCAACGGGACAAAGGTAGGGGGATTCATAGAATGACGGCGGTGCAGGACTGAATCGATTGCGTGGGCGCTTGTACCGGCCCGCAATCACCGTCTGTTCCGCTTCATGACTGTTCATCAGAGAGCTGACCCACGCCTGGAAACCACGGGGCCTATGTAGACGTATCGACTGTGTTTGGCAGATGAACCGGCTCGCGCTCATCATGTCCCGACTGGCAACTGACATATGAGCGTGCAGTGATGGTATGAATGCGAGAAGCCATCAACTCAACACATAAATGGGCCTGGATGATGTGTAGCTTAAACCAACTACTGGATCCGTGGACGACTCAGAAGATCGGCGGAGCTGAAGTACCAGCACGAGACCGCATTATGACTCCGGCGTCCCATCTCACTTCATGGCCCATCATTGCAGGCGGGAATCTGTCAGGTTGGAGGGTCCGCTTGTTGATTGTTCGCTTGTCTGCCAGAACCATGGTGGCCAGGCGTCTGCGCGTGGTTGGAAGACTCCCCATTTGGTAATTTGCTAGGCATTCTTGCCGTGTACCAACCATATACTTGGAAGTTGGGAGGATTTTCCGCGGGCCGTCAACCGTATATATCATTGATGCTTGGAGGTGGTTGTTCAGAGGAGGGAAATAGATAATAAGTAATTCATGGCCCACGTTCCTTGTCCTTTAGAGAAATAAGTCGATTCGAAACGTTGGAAGTCAGCCTAGATATCTCCAAGTGTAAGTATAACATACGCGCCACTCCATCTAGATTTCCTTCTATCAGATACTCGTGGGAGACGGATGCACAGATAGATGGTCTGACGCAGGCAGTCATTTGTCATCCAGGATATAATGTAGGAACGAGGGCGGATAGATGGGATCCGGAGTTATCGATGGAGTCCCAGTGGGAAGCAACAAGATCCAATTTCAATTGTAGCTTCCACAATAGAGTGGGAAAGGAACAAGGGCGAACGGTTTCCGGAAGGTAATGAGGTCGTCCCTGGGACTCCCCAGTAAGCCACGATACGTTGGACAGTTAAAGGAGGAA